AATGTTAAATGTTAAATGTTTAATGTTAAATGTTTAATGTTAAATGTTTAATGTTAAATGTTTAATGTTAAATGTTTAATGTTAAATGTTTAATGTTAAATGTTTAATGTTAAATGTTTAATGTTAAATTTTTAATGTTAAATGTTTAATGTTAAATGTTAAATTTTTAATGTTAAATGTTTAATGTTAAATGTTTAATGTTAAATGTTTAATGTTACATATTGTGTTTGAAATGCTAAATGTTACATGTTACATATAATATGGAACATGCTACATGTTAAATGTTACATTTTAAATGCTAAATGTTACATGTTTCATGTTACATGCAACATTTAACATTTAGCATGTAACTTGTAGCAAGTAGCAAACAACATGTAACATGTGATATGTACGATTTAACATTGAACATTTAACCTCTAGTATTTAACCACAGACAAACAGACATAACACTCGCAAGCTGTTCATCGAACAAGCATTTAACGGTAAATTTAAAAATATTGTAGTTGGTAGTACCGCCACCTGTGGCGCGCATAGTCAATTAATCATGTTTTGTTGCTTTTGACATCATCCACATACAGAGGGCCAGTCACTTTCGAATGTATGGGAATGGTAGGAAACCATTTGGAAATGCATGAAAATTTTCAGTTTTTATTCATTATCGTCTTTATGGGCAGTTTTAGATGCACACAAATTGCACGAGTATATTACTATGGTGATAAGGTAAACACTCGTTTATTTGTTTCCTTATGTGAAAGCATGTTTAGTCACAAATCGTGTATTTTCTGATATTTTCCATACTGTAAAAATGATTTTCCTACCACTGAAGGGGCGACATCTCTCGGATCTTCAGTATAGCTACTACTCAAATCATATAATTAATTTCCTTGCCTTTGACGTTTACACACTACCGCCATCTGTTCTCCTTACTACCCATCATAGTGTACTTAACAGATGGCGGTAATGTTTTAACGACGATGTTTTACAGTGAGAAATATTCAATGTATTATGCTCGGTATTATGTATGTTTGTCTGTGATTAAACCTAATCTGACCGATGTTGTTCATTTGTCATCTTAATAGAAGAGTCGGTGTATGAGTCACGCCAAGAGTGAAGCCAAGTCTACCTATTGAACTGTCAAACCGGCTACCTATCGTGCAAAGTAAACGAACATTACGATGCTATGAGAGGTCAACGAAAGGTATTGCAATAAAATATAAAATATAATCGAAGAAATGATCATAATCACGCAGTGAGCATTAAATTGTCATGGGATATGTTTGGTTATGATCAGTAATGAGAATTTCTACTATTTTTTGATAAGATAATTTGACAAAATCACTGACATAATGATTTACTACAGCCGCTATTTTTTTTCGCTAGAAGTCATTTGAAGTTGATGTAGAAGTCATCTGTTGCCAAGTGAAAAGAAAGGGAATCTTTCGAAAACCGTGATGCGAGTTCAACTGTTTTTCTCTTGGCGTGACTCATTACTCACCGACTCTACTTAGGCTCTGGCGAGTGTTATGTCTGTTTATCTGTACAACCACAGACAAACAGACATAACACTCGCAAGTTGTTTATCGAACAAGCATTTAACGGTCAATTTAAAAGTATCGTAGTTGGTAGTACCGCCACCTGTGGCGCACATAGTACTTTTCCTTGCGTTTGACGTTTACACACTACCGCCATCTGTTCAGCGTACTACCCACCACAATTTACTCAACAGATGGCGTTAATGTTTCAGCAACGATGTTTTACAGTGAGAAATATTCAATGTGTTATGTCTGTTTGTCTGTGGTACAACCATAGCGGTAACTCTAAGACCAGAAGGTCCCGAAGAAACGTGTTCAACTTTTTGGCTCAGCTCTGGTACTATCTTCGGTCCCAAGCTAATCGATGAACCCCTCGAAACATAGGAAAATCCACGAGCCCCTCATTTTATCTGTCAAACTTTCAGAGCGAATCAAAACAAACTTAGTGTAGTACTAGAATTTCGACTGCAATGGGGTACGTTAATCGATTTGCTTGGGACCAATAGGCTAGTCAAGTAGTGAGCCAATTTAGGCTCTGAACCATTCGGTGGATTTTTTAATTTATGGTTAAAATTTGACAGATGGAAAGTTATCGATTAACCCTGCTATCCGAGCGTGGTTATTTCTGACAGACAAGAAGTTAAATTTTGACAACCGTGGCTGAGTTCTGCTCAAAAACCGATCGATCGGTAACACAGGGATTTTTGAACATAGAAAATAACTTTCGCAATGTCAGTTTTAACCATGAGTTAAATTTAACAGCAAATGGTTCACAGCCTTAATAGTACCAACTTTTAGCACTCAATTTTGAGTAGCCCTAGTTTCGACGAAATTTGAGTGAATCCTACTGAAAATTGGGTAGTTTAAAATTAGCGTGAAGACCAGTGATTTTGACTGATAACAATGCGAGCTACCAACAATCAATACGAAACTAACGATTTTAAATTGGCTCACCACTTTAGTAGCCTATTGGTCCCAAGCAAACGATTAACGTACCCTATTCTAGTTGAAATTCTATTACTACACTATGTTTGTTTTGATTCGCTATGAAAGTTTGACAGATAACATCAGGGGTGTGTGGATTCATGCAGAACATGCAGGGGTGAGTGAAATAGCTTGGGACTGCTTGGGACCGTTGTTCTGGTACTGAGTGAGCCAAAAATAATAATGATTTTCTTCGGGACCCAGTGGTCTTAGAGTTACCTCTATGGAGCTACGCTTTCAAAAACGCATTGAGTATTACACGGATAGAAATCTCCTTATACCTTTTGGCAAATTTCCATTGCTGATTATTCATAAAATGTATAAGTCAACTAATAAGCAGACGCCTTGCAAAAAGTTAATAAAGATCATGTGTCAAATGAAATGTATAAGCGGTCACACATACCTTTTATGCATTCTAATAGGACCTATGTGGTTTGTCTTATGGAATGTATAAGGCTGATGCTTTGGCAAAAATGTATAAGTGAAACACATGAATTAAACAATTGATTTTCGTTTCGTGTAGGTTTTGCACCGTCGGGGTTAAACCATAGAGGTAACTCTAAGACCACTGGGTCCCGAAGAAAATCATTATTATTTTTGGCTCACTCAGTACCAGAACAACGGTCCCAAGCAGTCCCAAGCTATTTCACTTACCCCTGCATGTTCTGCATGAATCCACACACCCCTGATGTTATCTGTCAAACTTTCATAGCGAATCAAAACAAACATAGTGTAGTAATAGAATTTCAACTAGAATAGGGTACGTTAATCGTTTGCTTGGGACCAATAGGCTACTAAAGTGGTGAGCCAATTTAAAATCGTTAGTTTCGTATTGATTGTTGGTGGTACTGTTTACGTGTACACTCAAAAATATTACAAAACGAATATAGATTAAATTTTATGCATTTTATGGTTTTTCAAAATTTATACATTGGTTCGATTAAAATTTTCGTCAAAATTATACTAAGTCCGAATAACGGAGTGGAATTCGATCAGTGTTTACTAAAATGACAGGAAAAATAACATTTGGATTCTCTTCGCAGCTTCGCGCTTGTGAAGAGCTTTGTTCCGGCGGATTTCAACTGCGCCTGTGACCTGCTGGGCAGCTAGACTGCGTGAGCTCGTGAGCACGAGTTCATCTTAATAAACATCGAAATGGTAAGTGTTTTTGAAATAATATTCATAAAAAATAAAATAATTAAAAAACCTTCCTGAGAAAATTTTTATTTCTATTTGAAAACAACAATATTTACAATAAATAAAATAAAGAAGCGAAAAAGACATTCTCTCGATTAAACCGTATCTATACATTGTAAGTATATTTCGATTTTATACTATGGCACGCATAAACCATTTTTATACTAAGTTTGCATTCTCTCCATTTATACCGACCTTTGCGTCGGTACGGAGAGTTGCGATTTAGCGTAACTTTTATACTATTTAGATTTCAATATTTTTTGAGTGTACTTAGTCGATTTTTTCTTGGGTAGATTTTCTGGATAATTTTTCAGATTGCAGTGAGATGTAAACCACACTTTTGCAATGTCCACGAGCAACATCCTTTCACCACTCATTTCCTCGACAATTTTCAAGTTAAAATTAGGAAATTTTAAAATATTTTTTTTTTTTCGAAAAAACGACTAAGTGCTTGTAAACAGTACCACTGAACTGTCAAAAAGGTTCAGCCGCTTAACACTAAGCTAACACTAAGGGTGAAGATAAAAATGAAATGGAAAAAATGACTCGGTTGGGGTGCTTATATGGCCAAGTGAATTCAATGGTGTTTGAATAAATTCGTACGAAATTATAATCCGTAGACCAAGTTTGGAATCATGAAAGAGTATTATATTATTAACAATATCTCAACAATGTGTGATCATCAATTCCAACCCGTATGGAAAGGTAAATTCTCCACAACTCGATGACCATTAACTCGATATCGAGATATAGAACCATAGTAAAAAAAATATTTCGAGGCTACTGTGATTGCGTCTATGTCTATAACGCGATGGTCCCTTGAATATCGAGTTACAGAGAGTTCACTGTACATTTAAAAGTCATCTGTAGTGGAAACATTCCATTTTGTGAAAAATTCTGCTAAAAAAAAACAAAGGAAAGGTTATGCTTAGTAGGCCCAAAATTAGATCCAAGCCCTCTGATCACATTTAGAAACCATAGACGAAGATGGGAAATGGAACAGACAACATTTTTTTTTTTTTATCTTCAGAGGTAGATCGTAGAGCAAGCCTAGGGTCGAACTCAGGATATTCTACTCAGTAAGCAGAACCCGTGACTACTTGGTCATCGAGCCCCCTATCTAAATATGCTGTGTTCAGACAAATGTTTAATGTCAATAGTTATTATAACACGTTCAAAGATCTCGAGAGTCAATAAGGAATTAAACAAATTTGCGACCTCGTGAACTTAATAAACAATTAAAATTCCTAGACTTGATGAAATATTCAAGATTCTAAAACAAATAACTGAGATACCGGATTTCAATTTATTTTAAAATTCTATAGCAAGTGAATTTTCAAAGCAGAGTCAAATGATTCAATGGGTACGTCAATGGGGTTGATTATCGCAGGGAGACTCCGAAGAAATAGTTCTAAGGATTGCTAAACGCATATAATTTGCTATGTTTGTGCAGTGACCAAGATACTCGGCACCTTATTTTAGAGAGGTCAGAACAAAAGGAATCGTTGGTAGAAATGCTTGGCATACACAGTTTTGGTCACGAACTGCTCATTTGCTAATAACTTTGCACATAGTTGACGAAACATAGTTCTTTGTGAAGCAGTAGATAGAATAGAGTTTAAGCTTGTTATAGATACTTTAAAAAAGTCAATTTCAATTCTAGTAATAAACTATATTTGTTTTTGCGTTGTAAAAATGAAGTGAGAAATCCTGGCTGCACATCTCGGACTTTAAGTGTAAAAATCCATTGGTGTTGATTCAAATGTTAAGATTTACCTACTCTTTGTCTATTTATAGTAAACTATGATCCTAATCTATGAATATTAAATATTAAATTTTATTTTAAAGAAAAACAAATTTCAACAACTGAGTGAAAAATTACTAACAAATGAGCAGTTGGTGTGTACAACTGTGCATGCCAAGCATGGTGGTAAATCTTACACAGTAACGCACCACTTCGAGGTGATCTACCCACGTTACGCGACAATCTGTTTTCTTGAACCTTGTTTGTATTGTGACAACAAATTGATTAATATTATTTACATTCGAATTCAAGCTCGGAGAAAATTGTGAGCATTAAAATAAAATATTTAATTTCCAGATTAGATTAGAATTTCAAACCGCTCAATCATGAATTCAATAAGTTTTCTAAGGAATCCGTACAAGTCACCGAATGACCATATTTATTTATCACCTGACCGGCTATACATTTTGTAACTGAACCGGAATCACTTTAAATTCTTCCTTTCCAAAATCATATCCCGAACCACCCTGCGGAGAACTTTCCCCGCCGGCGATGTTGGTAGCCGATCAACGAAGAACACTCCCCCTCGCAACCGTTTATGGTCGCTAACTTGACGATCAACCGTCTCCACGACCGCCTGCTCCGTCAAACTCGAACCCGGCTGAAGCACGATCATCGCCGTTGCCAAATCGGACGAACCATCCGCCGTTGGAATTCCGGTAACGCAAACCTGCTTCACTCCGTCGATCTGCAGTATGACGTCCTCCAAGTCCGACGGCGATATCTGATAGTTCATAAACTTGATGATGTCCTTGATTCGGTCGATCACATACAGGTACCCATCCGAGTCGAAATAGCCAATGTCTCCGGTTTTGAAGAAGCCTTCCTCGTCACAGGCCTCCAAGGTCATTTGCTCGTTGCGGAGGTATCCCTAGAAAAGCGATCAAAGGCTTCAGCTATAGTTTGATTGAGATATCAATTGAACATTACCATAAAGCTATGCTTAAATTTAGCTCGAACTTCACCCTTCTCGTTGAGTCCTTGCTTGCGTCCGTCGTCGTTCACGATTGTAACGGTCACATTTTTGGCCAAGGATCCAACCGATCCCGGTGCGAACGGCATCATGGGAGAAGTGATTACACCCACCTCCGAGCAACCGTAGACTGGTTTCGTATCGGTCCCGTTGAAGCGCTCCGCCAGAACGGCACGAAGTTCCGACGAAACCGGTGAACCCCCGATGGGCCATCGTTTCAAGCTGCTAAAGTCCACCGTTCGGTATCGCGGATGACTCTGGATGGCTGCAATACAAGCCGGTGGGGTGAAAGCATCCTCTACCTTGTATTTCTCAATAATCGAGAAGAACGCTTCGGCACTGAACGGTTGGGCTGTGATGACACGTGCCCGAGTGTACAGCAAGGATGTGTGCGCAGCAAACAGACCAGTCATCCAGAATAGGGGACTGAAGTTGAAAATTGGACCGGCGTTCAGAGTGCTGCAATGAAAGTGATTGTAATTTTTTTATTTATTGTTTTCATTAGTCAAGCATGTACTTACTCCGAGAAGATTTCCCCTTCGATTAGATGCGCATGCGATAAGCATACACCCTTCGGTTGACCCGTAGTTCCCGAAGAGCATAGAACCGCCACCATAAGAGTTTTCGAATCTCCTAGATACGGAGGCACGAAGGATTCTTCCCCTTCGACCGGAACAAGCAGCTCCTCAATGGATGAAGCATTACCACTACCGACTCCCATCACGAAGATTCTGGGTTTCATTCGAATAGCTTCTCTCGCTGCTTCTTCAACCACTTCCCGGTTATTCCCATCACAAAGAACGATTTTCGACTGTGTCATTCGCATCATATGAGCCAGATCATCCCGATTGAACACCGGAGCCAGCGGATTAATCACCAAACCCATGGCTACACATCCGACGTACACGGGAACCACGTTGTCTGTGTTGGTGCAAACCAGAGTAACCATGTCACCCCTCTGATAGCCTAATCGCTGAAGGTTCAGAGCCACCCGAACGATTCGAAGCTTCATCTCGGCGCAGGTCATCTCATATCCGGTGTCCGCGTTGATTTGAATCACTTTGGCGGGAGTCCTCGACAGAAGGTTCAGAATCACTTGACCCAAGTTCGCTTCCGGATTGAAGATGCTGGGTTGCACTGGACCGGACCAGGTTTTCGTAGCCGAATCGTACTTTGCCATGGTTGAAATTCTATAACCGCGTCCGAACAGATCGACGTACGAGAGCAAACTAAGCGAGTTCTCTCTGCGTCTGCGCTGCTTGGGGTGGGTTTAGATTGATAGTGCGTGGAGGCTCGGTTGCTTAGCATACAGTCGTTTCGCGGTAATAAATCAGTAGCGAATTATGTGTGAACAATGGTTCCATTAGAAGATAGCTATTTGTGCTAAGATTAGCGCGTTATTACTACTTTTGTGTAATAAACCAGTAGGGAAACAAATTGTTGCCGGAAATTGTGATCAGTAACAATGACTTGCGGCTTTGTTATTAATTATTATGAGCATTATGGGTCATCAATTATTTAAATTGTTTCTGAACTTCGAGTAACTTTTTCTTTAAAATGTCGTCACAGAAAGCAAACCAGTGACAGAAACGGTCGCTTAGGTTCTATTCAATTACTTAGTCGATTTACTTATTTGATCTTGTTGCCCTGCAACGTTTTAGTTGTTCAAGATTTTGAACAATCAAACCTGACTGTTGAATAATGGCTTTGGAAGATAATATATTAAATTTGAATCGTTTAGCTTCCTTAATACAATAGCTGCAATTAAATATGCGTCTCACCAACCCTAACCACAACCATCTCCTTGACCGCACGTCGAAGTACCTTCCCGGCAGGTGTCATCGGTAGCTGATCAACGAAGTGCACTCCACCTCTCAGCCGTTTGTAGTCGCCAACCTGGCCGTTCACCGTGTCCACCACCGACCGTGCCGTCAAGCGTGATCCCGGCTGAAGCACAATCATTGCCGTCACAAGATCGGACGATTGATCAGCCGTTGGGACTCCGACGACGCAAACCTGCCGGACTCCGTCGATCTGCAGTATGATGTCTTCCAAATCCGACGGAGATATCTGATAGTTCATAAACTTGATGATGTCCTTGATGCGATCAACCACCTGCAGGAAACCATCCGAATCAAAATAGCCAATGTCTCCGGTTTTGTAGAACCCTTCGGCATCGAACGCGTTCGCTGTCATCTCCTTATTGTTGAGGTAGCCCTGAAATTGGCAGATATCAGACTATGCTCAAGATGTGCGAATCCCCTGAGAGATCCTACCAAAAACCGATATTTGCTTTTGATGCAAATTTCACCCTTCTCGTTGGGTCCCAGCTTTCGTCCGTTTTCTTCCACGATCTTAACCGTCATGTTCCTGGTCAACGTTCCAGTTAAAGCCATGGGAGAGGTGACGACACCACACTCAGAACAGCCGTACACAGCTTTTATATCGATAGCATTGAACCGTTGAGATAGACAGGTTACCAGTTCAGGTGAAACTGTAGTGCCTCCGAGAATCCATCGTTTTAAGCTCGCAAGTTCCACAGTATCGTATCTGGGATGACCCTGGATGGCAGCAATGGCCGATGGTGGTGTGAAGACGTCTTCCACGCGGTACTTCTCGATGATCGAGAAAAACGCTTCGGCACTGAAAGGTTGCGTGGTGATGACACGCGGTCGATTGTAGAGCAAGGAATTATGCGCCGCAAACAAACCAGTCATCCAGAATAGGGGACTGAAGTTGAAGATCGGTCCGGCGTTCAGCGTACTACAATCACAAGAATATTCATCAATGAGGTCTTCTACAGTTCCATAATCCCCCTTAAACTTACTCCGAAAAAAGTTCTACCCCAATTTGGTGGGCATGCGAAAGGCATACTCCCTTCGGTAGACCGGTAGTGCCCGAAGAGCACAGAATCGTCGCTGTGAGCGTATTTGAACCTCCCAAATATGGAGGTTCAAAGAACTGCTCTTCTTCCATCGAAGCAAGCAGCTCATCAACGGATGAGGCACTACCACTACCGACTCCCATCACGTAGATTCGGGGTGCTTCTCGAATAGCTTCGCTCACAGCTTCTTCAACCACTTCCCGATTGTTCTCATCGCAGAACACAATCTTCGACTGCGTTAGGCGCATCATGTGAGCCAGATCGTCCCGGTTGAACACCGGAGCCAGTGGATTTACCGCCAAACCCATTGTCACACATCCAAAATACACCGGAACCACGTTCTCACTGTTGGTGCACGCCAGCGATACCAAATCTCCAAGTCGGTAGCCTAACTTCTTTAGATTAAGAGCCACCCGAACGATTCGACGCTTCATCTCGGCGCATGTCATCTCACATCCGGTGTCGGCGTTGATCTGGATCACCTTATCCGGGGTCCTCGAGAGCAGATCTAGAACCACTTGGCCCACATTGGCCTCCGGATTGAGTATTCCGGGTTGCACCGGACCGGACCAGGTTTTCTCAGTAGGGTTGTACTTGGCCATGTTGTTGTGGAACGACGTTTAATGTCCTTTGTGAATCGTTGGTCGGTTGAATGCAAACTGAGAGGGTTATTTATGCTGGAGAAAGCTTGCAACTACTTTCCAACTACCCAGGTGTCGGGTTTTTGTAGAACTGTAGATCATGAAAATTACCTGGTCGTGGTTTATTGCACCGATGACCTCGAGATGGCAAAATGGATCTGAATTTGTTGTTCTGGTTCTATTTGAGACCATCGTGATAGATTTACATTGGCTTTAGGTACACGTGATGAGATATCTAACGGGGTTCAGTAGCAATCTCTTGGACCAGCGTTATCACTACATTTGTGCATTGTCATATGAATAAATAAACTGAATAATCCGCATATTACTCTAGGGTGGATGCAAACAGGAACAGAATGCTGCATCATCTGTGAAATACTCCGGTAGGTAGCAGTTGTTTACGATCGAAACACGTGATCGCTTGACAACAAATGCACAAACCTATTATCTCTATTATCGTTCCTCGTTCAGAACAGAGAATTACATGTTTGCGTTCTGTTCGATATGGTTTCAAGTCTGTTGGCTTACCCTATTCCTAGCTTAATCAAAATTAGTCTGCATTCACTTAGAACTGTATACAGGATTTCTTTGGAGTGTGGTCAATAATTTCAATTAGAACCATATCCCTTCATATAGGGGAAATGTTTGCTTCGGCAATACCTTAACCTATTATCGTCTGGGGGTAAACAACGTCCTTGAGAGCTCTATTTTGGATACATGGTGTTTTAGAGCATCTATTGGCGAAATTTGAGTGCTTTAGGACTTTGTTTACCCCCCTGACGATAGTAGGTTAAGGTATTGCAGGGCTGGTAGCGATCACTGCTGTCAGAAATAGTGATTTTAGTGACCATGTTGAATAATTAAGTGACCAAATAGTGACTTATAGTTGTAAAAATAGTGACTTAAAAGTGACCTAAGAGAACAAAAGTAGTCGTAAATGTTTGGTGTTTTAGACTTATTCAATTAGTATCTCACTAACACTTATGTACGACATGAACCTTTAGAGCGAAAGATTCAATAGATAGTTTAGGACCAAACCCCAAGTCGAAATTCTACTAACCTCAAAAATATGGAAAACCGGGAATCCTCAGATTTTTTTTGCTATCGACATTATCGACACTTATTTAAAACTTCTTCAATAGTCTAGACTTTCCTGGTGTTATTAAAACTGCCTAAACGATTACTGAATTTCTTCAAAGTTCTCCAGACTGTCCTGAATTCATCAGTAATTTTTAAGAACCCGCAACTTTACTGAAATTAATTAATTTGCCATGAAGTTTCGACAATTTTCCTTGAGTATTATAACCATTACAAACACTCATTAATTTTCCCTGAACCTATCTATGCTTACTTGAAGTTCTCTAAATTTGTTTAATAATCCAGCAAATTTTCTGATATATATTCATAATTCCCTGACGCTCCACGGAACTCCTTGTAAGTCGCTGCAAATTTGCTTAAAGGATTATTCTGAAGCTATCTGATCGTCTTCGAAGTACTCGAAACTTTGCTGGATATCAGGAAAATATCTGAAAATATCTAAATTTAGTTCTCTTGCATTTCTTGAAGACAACGCTGCTTGCTAAAAGCTCTCGCATTTTCATTTTTTATTAATGGAACTCCGTTGATGCTATCTAATCAACTTAGCTAAATTTTCGCATTTCTTTAAGTTCTTGAAATCTCCATGATATAATACCCTTAAAATATTCTCACTTTTTCCGGATGTTCATATAATTTGCATCACGTTTCAGAAATTCTCTCGGGTTTTGCTGAAGTTTCCGGAAATTCACTGAGTTTCTCAAAACTTCTTCAAGGTTTTTTTTTAATATTTCCTTGAAATCATTTGAACTGCCCTTTTGGTTCTCTGAGCTGTCTGGATGTTCTCGAAGTTTATTTACCTATAGCTCTTAGTTCTATTGAAGATCTCGGTTCTGCTCGGAAATAAATAGAATTCTCGTTAACACCTTTAAATTTCCCTGAAATTCTCTGGGCTTCTGTGAAGTTTCTGATATATTTCTGAAGGTCTCTGTACTTCCCTGAAATTCTCGAAACATCTTAAGGGTTCTCGATTAGATTTATCCAGAATTTATCTAAATTTACGATTATAGACCTTTAAACTGCTCCATAAGTCTGGACTAAAGTTACGGCAACTGCTCTTAAGATCTGAAATTCCCCAAAGATCTCTAGATCTAGCTTTTCTGAGGTGCTTAGAACTTCTTAAAAAATTGCACAATAAAGTTTTCTATATATCTCAAGTTCACTTGACACCTGTGAAGTTCTCTGAAATTCTAGGAACTTCATAAAAGGTTCTGAAAAGTCTCGGATGCTAAAAGATTCAGTAAGTTCCCCATATTATCAGCGTGTTAACTTCTCTTATGCTCATGCAGTTTGTTTATGGAGCTTCACTGAAATTCTAAGCATTTCCTGTCATTTCTCCGAAGTTCCTACAGTTGTGAAGTTAATGGTACTGCATTGAAGATCTCAAATCTTTCATAAAGTTAATTACGAACTTGAAATAAATCATTTATTTTTTACTTAATTCTGGCACTTTGAAAATTTTCAATATCTTTAACTTGTACACGAATACGAAACTTCAAGACATAGAATATTTTAAGATCTTGGAGTTACTTACTTGGAAAACTCAGGTAATTTTATTTAGAAAAATAAGTTGACATCCAGTGCATAGAGAAAGACGATTAAATCAATCTTGAAATAAATTCACGCTAAAAAAGTTGAAAATAGTGACTTATGACTCAACAATTCTAATTCATACACACGGTTATGGAGATTTCCAAAGCTACAGAATCTAAATTTCCTCAATACCCCTAACCGAAAGCAACCGAATTGCTCGAGCAGTTCTCGATGAACATTTCAAATTGTCCTATCTGCTTTGATCGATTCTCTTCATCGACTTTCTCTTTTCATAACCACTGCTATGCAAACAGATTTCGCGCTAATTCTACCACACAGTTTGATAAAGGAGGTTCTCATCTAGCGTCCAAAACGTCAAATACAATAGGGAAAGTTTATTTACGAAAGAGAAAGTCGATGAAGAGAATCGATCAATGCAGATAGGACCTTGTGAAATGTTTATCTAGAGTTCTACTCCAAATGATGAACCGGAAAAAAAACTCGAACGATTTTTGTCAGTTTTCAATTGTCCATGTTTTTGAACATAACAACAATTTGCATTTTTATAAGCTTTTTATTCAAAAATCAAACAAGAACATTTTGATATATTTGGATTTTTTTACATTTTTTTTTTATTTTGACCTAAAACAAATAAAAAAAACGTCTTTATTTATTTTTCACAGAAAGATATTTTTCTCTACAACTTTGTTTCAGACGAAATTTCAACCGAAAGTGCCGTTTTCGCGCTACAATTTTTTTGAAAAATTTAAAGAACGCCATTTAGAAAATTTTACAAGATCTAAAATGGTCGAATTTTAGCAAATCATTGCACAGTGGTCCAGAATGCAGATTTAGGTGGAATGATATGTTTTGAGTCTGAAATTGAAGCTTTAGAATAAAAGTTTCGTGCACAAAGTTGTTCCTTATAGTTACGTCCTCATTTTTTATGACAATGAACTCTAGGGGGGTTCTTATTATCATAAAGATAAAAAATCTAACTTTTTTGTTTGAATAAATTAAGGTATACATTCTTCGGCAAAGTTTTAGCTGACCTAATTTCAAGCAACTTTGTTCAAAACAACTTTTTTGTATCTCTTAAATTGGCCGATTTAGAGCTATTTTCTTGAATTGAGTACGGGTGGCGCTAAAAAAACAGTTATTTTGCTTTAGTTTTCTTATTTCAAATTTCTCAGCAAAGAAGTCTTCAAATGACTTTTAGATCTTTAGAAGGCGCAATTTTTTGCTGCAGAAAGCTTGTCAATATCTTTCGCCGATCAAAAGAATTGTCCCACTCCAGAATTGTCCAGCCCCCCCAGAATATTTGGCATTTTATTTTATTCACCGGTATTTTGTCAAGCTGATCAAGTTCGATGTTACTATTTTTTTTTAAGTCCTTTATGTTGACTAATGACTATTGACTGAAGCAATTTTGAGAAATTATATTATACAATATTTAATCGATGGCACAAAAAGAAGTCTTCAGGCTCTACAAATTGGCCATGAGCCCTGGGATTTTTATTTAACTTGTGGGAAGTTCGTAAAACTTCAAGGACTTCTAAGAAGTTCAGGGAACATCGTATAAATTGAGGGAACTTATTAGAAATTCTGGGAACTTCATAAATCTACAGAAAAATTCTTAGAAACAAGGAAATTGGAAAAGGTCAGAAAACTGCGTAGAAGTGGAAAATATATTTAAGTTTGAGATGCTTCGTAGAAGTAATAGGATCATTATTTTTTATTTCAGGGAAGCTCGTTATTGATCGGGAAACTATATATGATTTTAGGTCACTTTTTTGAAGCCTCATGGACTTCGAATAATTGTAGAAACTACGTACAAATTCAAGAAATTTCGTTAGTGGAACTTCGCGGAAAATCAACGAGAAAAGTAGAAGTACAGCAAACTTTGTAGAAGTTTTGCTAATTTCGTAGCATTTTGAGGAGCTACTTAAAACATCATATAAGTGTAAGGAATTTTGAAAAAGATCTAAAGATAGTTCAATAAACTTCCTAAGACCTTCTGAGATAGGGAACTTCTTTGCAGTTAGTCAGAGATCTTCATTCGAAAATGCTCCATGAACTTCTTGGGGGTTTTGGGAGCTTCGTTAAATTTCAAGGAACTTTAAAGATGTTCAAGATTATTTGTAGATGAAAGGTGGGTTTTCAAAAGTGCAAAGATGTCCAGGGATCTTCGTAGAATTAAGAGAGATTGAAAAAATGTGGGATTTGGAATAAATTCAGGGAATTTCGTAGAAGTTGAGGAAATTTAGTAAAACTTAAGGGAGTTTTGTAGATGTCCAGGAAACGTTGCATAAGTTAGACAGCAGGAAATATTAAAAAATATCCATACAGACGAAGATATTAGTAAAGTTCCCTAGGTATTTTTCCAAGACTTCAAGATGATCAAGTTCTGAGGATATCCAACTGTTTAAAAATTCAATGCCCTTTCAATACTGTAGGGTTTTCAGGAAGTGCCGTAATCCGGGGTGAAATTGATCATTATGCGTTGTATTTTTTAATTGTCATGTATAACATGATCGGTGATAGATGTCTAGAGAAATCTTAAAAGTATATCATCATGAGACTCCAATGA